GCACCATTTTGTCGTGGTGGTCATAATTGTAGTTATAATTTTCAATCTGCCAGGATATTCTTGGAGTCTGAAGCGTACGAACGGACTGGGGGCGGACAAAAGGTACCAATGCAACAGGACGCCGTGCACACGTTCGCTATTCAAACTTCATTACTGATTATGTTAAATAGAAACTGTAAAACACATATCCGTTCGCTGGTGAATGGGAACACGAAAAGACTCTTAAATTTGGTTTTTGGGTAAGGAAAAATGCAAAGTTCCTGGGAAAGTGGGACAAGAAAAGCACAACACGACACCACCATCGTCGTCGTCACTCCGTCATTTTGTTTTAATTAAAATTTTAATTTCACGGCAAAATATTTTTTGTTGTTTTTTTGTGTTCTGTTGGTTTCATTCACCTGGAGCAAAGGCGTCGTCCTCATCACCATGGAGTGCAACGTGCTATAACCAGATATCCAGCCAGCCAGCTAGGCAGACATCCAACCAACCATCCAGCTAGATATCCAGTCAACAGCTTCATTGGAACACAAAAATACCCGGAATCCAAAATGAAGTACTTTGATGGTACATGAATGGAACATGGATGCATGCATGCTATGCAAGGATGCCATCGCCATCACCATCAACAGTGCCAGCATGTTTTCGTATGGCGAAACAACGAGCATAATGTGGAAACTTTTACCACTACAACCAAGGCCGCCACAATAGAGTTTGTTCAGGTGGATGTGCTCAAACACCTGAATCTGTGAATGTGTGGTTCGGTCTGAGTGCGATTGTGTCTGTGTGGCCGTACAATGATGCTGTGATGCAATATTAAACCGTAAGGGCAATATCATATTCATGACACCGAGAAAAAAGGGGTTTTTGGTTATATGGAGATCTAGTGGGGCAACAACAAAAAACATACACAAAAAATAAAACGGTGCACGGATATTGTTGTAGTTCATTCTACATGAGTTCAAAAGAAAGAAGGAACAAATCTGATAAAACACACACCGACTCACACACACAAACAAATGCACATGATGTGAACTTGCGATAGAATATCGTTTCCTATAGGCATTTCCCATTAAGGATGGAATATCTTAAAAAGCAATTATCTACCAGCCAATGTATGTTTACATGTATGTACATATATACACGTACATACATGCAGTATTTGTAACTTTGTATGAAAATACATTTGCACACAAGAGACGAGGGTGAGGATAACAAAAAATAGCGATTGTGGAAAAGAGATTAATTAGATATTTGGGGAGGATTTAAAGGATATCAATGTCAGAGACATACACTTTTGTTGGAGCAAGGACAATATTAAAGTCAAGTGGTTTGGTAGCATGGAATCTCTACAAGTCATGGGATTGACAATCATCATGCTTTGATAATATAAAACATTGGAATAATACAACAATATCAGTTCTCAAATCCATTATTTAATACTCTGCAAACAGCATTCAAATACATTACGCAATCTCACTTTTATGAGAATTGTTTGCTTCTAAATATTAAAAATTATCAACTAATAATACCTAATACCAACCTCGTTGGCAATATGTTCTCTTGGTACAATACATAACAACAGCAGCAGTGCTCTTCATTTTCAGTATCCCAGCTAAAAACCCACAATATACGCACACAAAATTTTCGGCAAAACTTTGAAACATTTTCAGTTGAAACGATACATATGTATACATGTATGCGTGTGTGTAGCAAATGCAAAAGGATAATGTAAGTAATTCAATAACATACGCGGAACTCAACACATACAACAAATGACGGCGGTTGCAATATGTACAGCGGATGTGGTAGTGTGTGTGTGTCTGTGTCTAAAAAGCTTTTTTCGATATATTGTGTGGCTTTGAAATTCACTTAGCCTCCATTTAAGAGCAACGCTCCGTGGTTTGTTTTGTTATTCTTTTCGCACAAGCAATTTGCTCTTCTAAACAATTTAACAGTTGATTTACGGGGTTACAACACCAGGTGTGGAGAGATGTCTATGTTGTAGTAAGTGAATGTAGGATGGCAGCATACGCATCCAGTACATATTTACAATTATTTGGACAGCTACAATGTGGGGGGCATGACATATTAACACAGAAGCATGGACTTGTAGGGCTTGATTCGACAAGTATTATATATCTTATATTATACACTTTATAATAAGTTAAATTATATATAAAAATACTCTTGTATGTATCTGCTATCTGCATCTCGCGTTTTTAAGTTTACAATTAATTTCAAGATTTCGGATGTGTTGCAACAACCATGTTGAAGTTATTGAGATATACATTACTTTGCAGAGTTATTCAGTAGGGATCTTCGAAATTTTTGTAATTTACAAAAGAAGGTAATGAGCACAAAAACTCAAGCCGGCCAAATATGTGATCACAATTAACCACCAGAAGAGGCTCACGTCAAATTTGCATGAAAATGTGGTTCCATGAGAGTGTTAGTGGTGGCCATTTTTCTGATATTGTTTTTTTATTAACATCATAATTTCCTCTTATACTGTTAATAAAAAACTATCATTTAAAAAGGGTCCGTATGAATTTTTTTTTTTGGTCCTTTAAAGCCGACTCTGACACTTGCAGAGTGTGAGTTTGGTCTGGCGAGAGATGACCTTGTTTCTAAACTGCTTGCTTAGACCATAGTAGCATTTGTTGGTCAACACTATTCATCTCCGAATTACAAAATTGATGTCATTAGTATTATTTATGGTATATAAAATCTGCGACTCCTCGAAGCTGTATTAGTAGTTTTCAAGTTCCATAGTTGATCCGAAGTTACTGGACGTTTTGCGTTTTGATACCATCGGCTTGGTCTTCTCGCCACTTACTGCCAGGCCCACTTCGGCAGACTCCTTCTAAATTTGTTCAAAGCTCGATGTTACCCCTCGCAATGTTCGACCCATTATGTCGATGTAATCGGCGAAGGCGAGTAATATGTGTTGTTTGTTGTACAGAGTGTCATTTCTGTTCACCTTTGCCTCTCGTATGGCCTTTTCCTGCAAAAGGTCACAAGACAGACTGTCACCTTGTCTGAATCCTCGTTCGGAATTGAAGGTCTCGGAGAGGTTCTTTGCTGACCTTGTGCCAGCTAAAGTTATTCTGAATAGACATGGTTTTAAACACCACTGAAGGGGTCTTTGGAATGTGTGTCAACGAATAGTTGAAATGTATGGATGTGTTTTTCGTGAGTATTTTCCAGGAATTGGCGAAGAGTGAAAATCTTGTCTATGGTGGATTTGTCAGGCCTGAAGTCGCATTGATATGGTCCATTAATGTCATTGACCATTGGCTTCAGTCGTTCACACAGTACACTGGATAGCACTTTATATGCGATGGGAAAGTGGCAAATTCCTCTAAAGTTGGCACATATCGTCTTGTCTGCTTTTTATAAAAGAAATTTTAAGTTACATTGGATACACCGATCACATTATAAAATTTTGCGGGTAGTACCAGAAGGACTGGACCAAAGCGAATGATGCAAAAGGTTACTCCCTTCGTGCGCATCTGAAAGTCAGACATTTGTAAGTCGACTATAAATTTGGTCCAAAGAATATTTCGAGTAGGCGCATAATCCCTATGAGCCATAAAGTGGAGAGTACAAAACATAGGTAACGTAATAACTTCAAACGCGGACGAACATAGATAATTTTTGATAAAGAGAAATTATCCTGTTCCAAATCCTCGAAATATCAAACAAACAATGTCAATAAATGTGTTTCCATTATATGGGACCTACTTGGGTGGGAGTCAATTCTGTTGAAAAAACTTCACACAATACCAACATTTTGAGGTGCTGTTAGGTAGGGAGATTTAAACTCGAAATACAAAACTGCAACTACTTTAGTTGAAAATGTGATATCATCAAAAAACTGTAATCATCAAAATACTGTAATATGGGAGCAATGACAAAAATAAATAACATTTCGGAGGTGTATCTCAATTTATTTAGCAGACAGCAGACAGATCTATATCGGCAAAGAATTTCTCGCTGATCGAGTTTGCATACATATTTCATGTACTTTACTGTGTCGCAGATGATGGAATAAAAGATTAAAATGCTTGCTTTCAATATATTTTTAAATACATTATTCTTAGAAAATATTCAAGTAGAAAACGTGATAACTTCGTTATTACAAAAAGCGGCGCCTGACATTGATATTAAAGAAATTGGCAAAATGTGTGTCAACCACTTCCAAAATTTGACTGGTTGACTGGTATAATCTATCAAGTAATTATCCAACTGCTGGTTATGCTACTGAGCGAACGAGCGAGTGAGTGAGTGGACAATTTTAATCAAACGTGTTGAATTCATTCGCTTTGGGCATGACTGCTTCATTGAATTTGACTGTACGTCGATACCACACAACGATGACACCCAGTTACGGCTACTGACCAAATAAATAAACACCAACCTAGCAACAGCTAAGTGTACCACGAAGTGTACCACGAAGATACAACTGGAAATTCAAGTAGAAGATATGAGTACTTGAATATCATCCAGCCTATACTTGAATTAAGAATTACTTTGCCTTAGGGCAAAAATAGCAATGGTAAAGAATACTTTCTAATTATTCATGTATAGCCAACATTTGATTGAAAAAATCATGATTTTCTGCGAAAAATACACACAAGACCAAGAAGTAAAACAATAATGAAAGAAAGTTTGTGATTCAATAATGACATTTTGCATATCATTTCCCTTTGTGACGCCCAAAAGAAGCTGTTGTAGGTCATTAGCAACGCCCGTCCATTTGTGAGAAGCGTATAAAAGCTTTGGTTGTATCCACATTTGACATTAAATCACATTTACAGCTCCTGCTAATAACATCGTTCAAGAGCAGGTTTTATAGCGAATTGGAAAAATGGTATCCCATAAATTGTTTGGAGTTTTCTTAATTGCCTCATGTCTATTGGCATTGGCAGAGTCGGGTATGTGTGTTTTTTTAATTTTTCATTTGTAATATATACAATAATCGGTTCATTCTATTGCAGCTTCAACTAATAGACCCGCAAATAAGAAACGTCTTAATGGTCTATATGTCAAGGATAGCAAAAATGGTGAATTACGTTTCCTCGCCTCAAACAGTCAAATCAATCAGGTCATCAACCAAAAACAAGAATTTTTGGAACAGTTGAGACCTACAACAACTACTGGAACTGGAAACGGCGTTAATCCGATTATTATTAACACTGCCACGGTTGGAGCAACAGCAACCGCAACAGGAACGGGCACTGGTACCGGAACTGCAACCACACCTGTAACAACTACTGGTACAACCGGGGGTACTGCTGTTGGTGGTGGCGGCGCAGCCAATAATAACATCCCACCCTCACCAATCGCTGATCTTTTGCCACAAATTGTTGCCCAGGCCGCATTGACAAGACGTCGTCCTGGCAATAATCGTCGTCGTGTGGTAAACAATCGTCGACGTGTTGTAAACAATCGTCGTCGTCGTCCCGCCAGACGTGGCACCAAGAAGGGGCCACAAATTTTTGTTGTCAGAGCCGGTAATTAGAAATAAATGAGAAGAAAGTGTAATTGGATTTGAGCAGGAATAAATATGAAATAATCTATATATGTATATAAAATGAGTTTTGTTATAGTGATCGATTGTCAGATATTCAATTCCTTGGCGAAACGTAGTTTCCAAATTTTGTAAAAATGCATGATTTTTTAAACTCCCTACTGTAAGTTAATTAATAACCCCAGTGGACCGGTATTATCCATCTTCAAACTTGAACTAAGTATGGAAGAAATATTTAGATGTGCAAAGTTTGGATTAAATCGGTTACTCCCAGCGAGAGTTATTGTGCTTACCAGCCGGTCAGACCAATATTTCGATGAGGTATATTTTTACCGTATCAAAGTGTGTATACCCTCATTAGCCATAAAGCTGAGGATATAAACGTAATTGACTTAGGATATGATTTTGAAAACTCGTATTAAAAATAATCCGATAATGACTCCATAATTTATCGAAAAATACAAATCAGCACGATCTGGTATACACAAAATAAGTCAACATCCACAATTGTCATCTTCAACCTTACAAGTTAAGAATGTGAGTACTAACTCACAACATTTCTCAATTTTCCCCAATTTTCACAGAATTCAAATTTCAATTTAACATTGTTGCAGTTGTCATCCTTCTTCGGTTATTTTCTTCTATAATTTACAAAGCAAACTGTTCAACAGTTGTTTTGCATTCCTTCATTTGTTTCGTTTTTAATAAAATCTCAGAAAAATTAGATTAAAACGATACAACAGAAACAAAAAACAAGAAACACCAGCAACACTATACAAAAAACCTCCCGAGTTTATACAGTTGGACAAAAGGACACAATGCAGCAAATGAGACAAAACAAAATAGCAGGAAAAAATAAAAAAATACATGGCAACAAAAGCAAAAAAACGGAGGAAATTGTTCATCTTCATTTATTATTGTTGCTTTGGTTTTATTTTTGTTCTTACCTTGAAGAGCAGGGGACTGGGGAATGGAAGCATATTGTCCACTCTTCCCCTCAATGCGTCTCTTCTCCTCACACACGGGGCCAAAATGGTCATGTAACATTTACATGGTGCAGAACGTTTTCTGATTGAAAAAGCATGGTCAAATGCCATATATGTATGTCCTTTTACAGTTACAACTTTCTTTTCATTTGTCCACTAAGAATGTCCCTCTGTGTGTGTGTATGTGTTTGTGTGGCGTACTGATGGCCCCTTTTGTTTTGTAATGATTTGATTTGAAATTCATTTGAATTATTGGTTGCTTCCGGTTTCCGGTGCTTTCATGAACTTTCTTTGGCCATTATAGTTGGAAACGATTCAACGAGCATAAATGTTGAAGTTGTACCAAGCCATTCACCAGCACACACACACACATACACCAGCTGAGCTACAAACATGTACGTAGTCTCTCTGGTGTGTCTCTGTATGTCATTGCACATTTCCTCTCAATGGACTTGCTAGCTAGTTTCGGTTTTTTGTGTGTGACATTGATTTGTAACCCAGTGAACATTTTGGTATTCCAAAGGGTATTTATTTGATTTGAGGAAATTTAAAGTTTCTCATGGTGGATGGAATGTTTGTTTATTATTTGACATACTCCAAAATTTGTTAGATCTCGATATGTCATGGTGAGAAGTCTCAAATTTGAAATGAGGTTTACAGAATTTATAACATCACTTATAAATCCGTATAATGTGTGTAAGGGGTAATTTTCGAACTAAAGGATCACGTATCTATAACAAGGATTTAGAAGTGAAAAAAGTCATATTGTCATGGATAAAGCTAAACAAGCTGAGCTGATGGCATGCATGTAATTTTTTACGAACCTTTGATAATAAAAGCTGTTACACAACGCCACCGATATAGAGAAGAATATTTGAGCTGATTAGAGGCCTTATTTTGGTCTCGACTTACACGGTAGTTACTCCTGGCCGTGACGGACTAATTCCAATATATTCTGAATAATATCGATGTGACTCTGATTTTTATCAAAATAACTCTTCTCCATTTGACAATGTATGCTGGGTTACTTGTTCTTCATATATGTAGAAGAAGAAACAAATTGCACTATGACTATTTCTTTTACTTGGAAACATACAAACTGTTATAATTTTCGTTCTTTTTTCAGTGTTCCTGTACAAAAATATATAATTGTGTGAGTATGAAATTACTTGTCCTTCGTTTGTCTTGGAGTCTTGGACAAAAGGACATTCATCGTCATTTGATATAGACCAAAAGGAAATAAGTTTCACATTTATGCCAAGCAGAGTAGCAGAACTTTTGCATAGCTGTCGTCTAAGCTTGGTAGCCATTCAAGCGTCAGGCATGCTTACATTGCAGCTTTTGCGAAAAAAAGAACTAGAACAGCAAGCACAAAAAATCAGCGAAGAAGAATGTAGAAGTTCCATTTTATAACTCTGGCTTCTGCTTAGGACCCTGTTAGTGTTGTCTGTGTGTAAACATTTCCGTAAGTTTCATTTTCATTTTAATTTGTTCGTCGTTTTCGTTTTCGCTGTCGTTGCTGATGTCTTTCTTTGGTAAAGTTGGTCCTTGGTAAATGAAATGCGTCTCCTCTGTGTTAGGTACTTCGTGTTTGACAGATAGTTTCGTTCGACAGAGTTACACACACACGCATACACACTCTCATACACACACCAGCAAAAAAAAAAAAAAGAGCAAAGAAAAGTTGGAAAACACTTTTAAGTGTCATTTTCAATTAAAATGCTTTTCTTGAGTTATTTCACAAATAGAAATACATACATGCATACATACAAACACATACCTTAATAACAAAAAATCACATGAACACACACACACACAGACAAAACCCGACTGATTGAGATAGTCATGGCTTATTTTTTATTGACAGCGTCAACACACACTCATACACAAGGAAAAACACCAACTGAGTTTTCCTTGTCCTGACATTCTCATCCAGTCCACATAACTAGCAGCTACAAAGACTTTGAGTTCCCATTTTTAGAGTTTAGTTTAGTTTGTTTAGTATTCATATCTCATACGCAGAACTAATTTATTGAAACTTTTAGTAATTTTCTTGTCGTTTCTGTAGTCGTTTTTTTCTGTTGGCTTTCCTTTTCGTTTTTTATTTCTACCAATATTCTTAATATACATAAATTTCCAGAGTATTAGCTATACAAATAGCCTTGCATACAAACACACACACACAGAGTGATCCTTACAATCACACACTTTGCATTCATTCATTGCTATGGCAATAAAGCTTACAAATTTTATAAAAGTGTATGTGTGTGTGTCCGTGTGTATATGTTCGATTTTAAAGGAATATGCTTGGTTGGTAGTTACAACAACCACCGTCACAACTATTTCCGATGATAAATGCATAAATCATTCAAATAGTTTTCCCAGCACTTTTCCCACTTCCGTCTCTCAGAAAATAGTTTTCATTTTTTCGGGGTTGGCTACATCCAGAGTTTTGCAAAAGTTTAATGGATTTTAAATGAGTGTGGTTTTATTAGATATCATTGAAAGGACACGAACACACACATACACACACTGCTATTCACACACATTGTTATTCATAGTGTGAGTGTGTGTGTGCGCGTAAGAAAGTATAGTTTGGTAATTGCATAGATTGGTTAAGAAAATAGTCCACAGTGGAATTATTTTGTTAGATTGATAAACGTTTTTTTTTTCAGTCACTACTCCCCAACCATGCATTTATGGGATGACATAGTTTTTGCCCCACAGTCAGTGACGTGGGTCCTTTTTGTGTATTTGTTGAAAGTAAGTTTACAGTTATGCAGATAAATAAATGGAGCCCGAGCGAATTCCCCAAATTATGAGCTCATTTTTGCCGCTTAGTTAAATGCTACAAAAAAAAAAACACACACACACATTTAGTTCACCTTCCAGAGGAAATGTTGGATTTTTTCTTTGACGACGGAAATCGGTTCAGTTGTCAATTAATGGTTTTCCCGTTATGGCTAAACCAAATCTCATTTTGAGTATGTTTTCAAACCCGGCTTAGAATTGTTTAACAATTCACTCATTAAGAAACCATAATTAGTGAATATATAAATTAACCAGTGAGCTGAGCAGTCGGAGCTAACCAACAACTAACACGAAAAAATAACTTTCTGCGGTCCTATATTTAGAGCCTGGTGATATTTGCACCCTTTTGACCGATTATAGGTCAACAGCCCCATTTTAAAACTCTGGACTATTTTTCAAACCGTGTTTCCCCGAAGCGAATATTTACGCCACAAAAAAAATTGTCTCTTTAGACCATCGGAATATTGAACGATTATCATCTAAATAACAGTTCTAAGTATTTGGTCACATCCCCTTCACCGTGTAAAATATGTGATGTTCTGCATGCAATAATAGCCTCTAGAACTGACAAAAATGACATTTTCGGTTCAGCACCCCTAAATATCATCTCAACATCAACGAAGACTATAGGCGTCGTCATTGACCATAACCGGAACTTTATGTAAGATTTCAAAGCTATTAGTGCGATATTTCCGCCCTCTGGTGGGGTAGTAGCAACGCTATACAATTTCATAACACATATATACCATTAAATATTTACGAATAACCCCACATCCGAGAACATATAACAATATAAAACAAAAGTCTGGATCCATTTTAACCGCTAAATATTGACCGATCTTTATAAAAGCTGTAATGTTTATTCTTTGGCCAGATTTCCTTTCTGGTGTAAAATTTCGTGGTGTTCGGTCATGATTGTGGCCTCTAGGGCCAACAGAAAAACAGACAAACAAGAAATAAAGTTGTTGCTTCATTCCATATCCTAAATATTAACGGAGCATTAGTAAACAAAAAAGGGTCTTCTTTGGCCAGATCTAAGCCTACATGCAAAATTTTGCGACGATTGGTCCATAATTGTGACCTGTATCGTTTTTACAAATTATAATGGACAGACGGCCGGACGGACACACATGTCTAGATCGACTCAGCTAGTCGAGGTATGACGATCGGTATATCTAAAGATGGGTCTAGGACCAATATTTGGTGCAAAGCTATAATACCCTGACAACATAGTTTTGTAGGATATAACAATTACATTAGATACGGTTATACTACGTACATTTTAATACCCCACGTTCGCTACCACTGTGACTTCATTTAACCACTGTTTTCAATAATTTTTCTTTACTTTACATGAAAAATTATACCAAATATTTGCATTTGAATGAAAAAAGCGATCATTCAACTCAGTATTGAACAAGAAAGTAATAAAGTAATACCAAGAACACCTATTTGAATTCTAACAACCTGCAAAATAACTTGAATGAATGGAATTGCTGTTACGTTACTATAGTTCGTTAGCCTAACCTCTTGGTTGAGGTTCTACTACAGCCGTAAGACTTGGATGAGAATGTTTGAACAACAAGTGCACAACACAACTTCGAACAAATTCATTTCTGTGCGAGTTTTGTAATTGAAGCGAGAACATTAAACTCATTATCCCAAGTATGAGCAATGTATTGTACATGGTATGCACATACATAAGTAAAGTTATCAGAGACGGGCAAACTGTTCGTAAAATAATTACGATTTTGGTTGCAGAATCTAAATTGTTATAAAATACTGTGTATGTCAACTAGATGTTTTTGTGTAGTTAAGGTATAACAAGTATTATTCACAGCCTTCGTTGATAAACATATAATGGTATTTAATTAAGTTCTATTAAAATCCAGATTTAAATAATCAGAATTGTGACACCCTTAATATGATATTTGCACACCTCTGCTAAATGCACATTTGTTTATATGTATGGATATATCCACCTGTTAATACAATTGGAACAAATAATTTAGTGGGAATTTAAGAGAGTGTTTGATAGGTCCTTGGGATGGGGAAAAACTTGACAAAAAACCAAGTTTATTCAGCAACTAACTGTCATTTGCATAACCTTTGTCAAAGGTCCTATTCGAAATACAAACAAAAACACAATAACTGAAATCATTTCAATTGTTTTCATATACGTACATACATACACAAAATGCCATGTATGTATGTGTGGGAAATTACTACCACCATACTTTCTCCAGTCTTACCCTCCTGGATCCTTCCTTTCCCCGTTTTGTATTCGCATTTGATTTAATTTATGCTCATTTGCTTAGGCAACAAGTTGTAATGTCAGTCAGTCAGTAATTTATGCAAATCAAAGAACAACTTGTTTCTCCTCCTTCTTCTTCTTTCTTTCTCTTTGTTACTACCCATCCCTCTTTGAGCTGATTTTTGTTGTTGTTGTCGATTTCTCAGTTAATTTAGTTCTTTTGTTGTCTTTCATTTTTTTGCACTCATTGTTCTTGTTAGTTGCTCTGGTTTTTAGTGATTTGTTTTTGTTGTTTCAAGGCATTTTTGCGCGGCAACGTACGTTGGCTGTAAAGTGGCGCCCGATGTCTATATCTAAATAATATTAAAATAATAAGAACCAGACAAATAATCAGAACAAACGAACGACAACAGCGACAAAACCAGCGCCAAAGAACAACATTCGTATTTAGAGTTTGGGTTGTTTGGAATGCCACTTGAACGACGAGTTGTAAAAAACAGAAATAACAACTGACATCAGTCAACTGGCGACGACGATGGACGTTCACAAAGTGGCGTAATCGCTGGCAATCTGTAAACATTAATTGAAATATTACCTAGGCCAAATGGGGAGAAAAAAAGAAAATAATGTGATATAACACTTACATGTGGACGATTATTGCAAATTTGTATTAGGGTAGAGCGAGAAAGCATACATTTCAGGACATACATTTTCAGGACTCACATGATGCCAAATACCATTTTATGTGCCTAAAACTACATTTATCCAGCTAAAGCACCAAAAATCTACTTCATTGATTTTAATTTCTCAAATGCAAGAATCCGTTTTGATTCGGTAATAATGATAGCAAAAGATAATTGCGACATAATTATACATTTTTAATTCGTACATTCTTACTATTTTATAAATTAATAAAATTATTCTTAATAAATCTAATCAGATTTCGATCGACCCCAATTAACAGTTGCATACATAAACAAATACAAATACGTTCTTAGTGCATTTGACTATCATGGTCAGAGTATAATTTACATTACAGGTGTCATTCAATCAATTGATGAATACTTAGAGGTGTGCATCTAACTAACCATAAATGTGGGACAATAAAAATTCAATTTGTTGTGGATGTTTATGGATATCTTGTTACAAGGTAGGTATTTCGAATAAAATCAACGATGTCACAATGATGTTTCTTTTTTTGTAGTGTTTGGGCGCCAATTGCTTATTTTAGAAGGTTATACCGACAATTGAAATTACATGGAGTTACAATTAGTATTGAATATTACTATTGACAATATCTTCTAAATCCCTGTATCTGAGGACTACGTTTGTAACTATAAACAAAATTTTGAGAATTATATTTTTCATTACAAATTGAAAAATTGAAGATACCGGTTTAAATTATTAGACACAAAATATTAGTTTTATTAGAATATGTGACAAATTCCAATAAAAATGGAATCTTATTGGATTCTTCTGCAGTTATCAAGCGCGTCATACCTTGGGAAGTGACAGCATGAATCAAGAATCGAAAAGAATCCGATCAGGAAATGTTGTGTGGGAACTCTTACAGTAAAGTCGTACTAGAAATATAAGAAAACTTAAATACGAATGGAGGTAGATTCTTACAATATGCTGCGGGAATTGGTTTTTAAAATGTACGAAAAAGTGTACGTGTACACAATTTAGTACAGCTGGAATTGGATGCACCAATAAAGCTGAAATCATAGATTTGCTTTGGTATTAAATATGCTATCATCCATATAGGATTCATGTGCAAACTTAAAATTTTTATACGGGGATCACGGTTGGTAAGCCCGTTTTACAGCTTAATAAAACATTAAAATTGTTGCCTAATGCTTTCTATTGGTGATAACATGATGTTAAAAATTCTTTCTAAATCACGCCACTGATCCTCCTCAGTTCCCTTAGTTTTTGTTGGGATATTCTCCCCAAAAGCTAATGTCTCTTGTAACAAAGCGAATTACTTAGCTGACCAACGAAATAAACTGCATGAGAATTTCGCTGGTGCCTCACTTCGAGGTTAACAAGGCATTTACAAACAATATCACACCGTTCCCACTGTTGTGTGTTGTCACATCGCGACAAATGCAAAAAACTAAGGGAACTGATGAGGATAGGTGGCGTGATCCGAAACTATAGTCTTCCCTGCCACACCTATGCGGTTAACTTTTACACCATTCTTGAATTTTATTTGTCCTATCAGACCTAGGCAACGATGAATTTACATATAGGCTATGAAACTAAGAAGTAAACATTGAGAAAAAGTCGAGATGTAAACAATATTCAACCTTTGGTAGTTACCAGAAGGATAAACCGGATATGATCTATACTTGGTAAATAAATATAGCTTTGTGCGAAGTTGGGACCAAATCAGATACTCAACAACCTTCGCATTTGATTTACACGTGTTCTATAAATCCCATTCTATATAAAAATCATCCCAAACGATGTGCTGCCAACGTCAATCTCAAATGGAGCGTTTTCTGACGAATCTAAACCAAATTTAAGGGATTTCGATCGTACAAGGGGTATTCGTAGATAAATTGGACAACTTTTAAATCCTATTACAAAGGCAAAACATGGAGGAGGTAACATCATGGTCCAATTAACAACATTTATAGAATTATGGATCGTTTTATGTAGCTTGGCATACTATACGATATGCCAAATTCCCTGATCTTAATCCAATTCAGAACTTGTTTGAGATCATTAACTCAAAAATCAACGGAAAAATAGTGAAACCAAAGAAACTGTATTTGAAGCCGGAATAATATTCTCGGATGCAATATTAACATAATTAATACTTGAATGTCCTATATGCCAAAGAATGTGCATATAGGACATAATACAACGAAATATTAAGTTTAATAGTTATTTCACAATAGTCAGGCTTAATCATAGCTTGTGGTTTTTATAAAAACAACTATTCATTAGTGGGGAAAGTATGGCATTGTATTGAGTTTAATATTTTTTCTGTACTTTAAATTGGGTGGTGCTTGAAATGTTTTCTGACTTTAAGAATTTGGTTCTTAATTATGAATTCTGTATGTCTGAATTTTTCAATAAAAGAGATATAAATAAATAATAAAAAACAAATTGTTTAAATTTGTTTTCATAAAAAATATTTAAAAAAAATTACTGAGGGTGTGCTTAGGTTTTTGGCCTGCCTGTATGTACTAAACATCCGTAAATTTTGTATTGAGAAAGTAAGGACGAAAAAACACCACCTCTGGGCTTTCAAAAATATGTACATATTCCACTACAAGTTTTCAATTATAATTTCATTGGGATACGTTCATGACTTCATTCTGAAATGGATCCTCAATTATGTTTATTCATATTCAGATTACAAATATTTTGAGCCATTTTGAATAGCTTGATTTGTAATCCACTTCAAAATCGCTTTAAATTTAAATAATAAAGAATATCTTTAAGTACAACCATAATCTTTATACCACCCACGCTAAAACTTTCCCCAAAAAGAACAACGGCACACTTATTACCATTATTTTGTAAATACCTTGAAAAATGGAATAAAGGTTGCAGCGACGACGACGATTGTTCATGTGCTCGTAACGTTAAGCGAAATAAAATGAGCAAAATTTACTTTCTTCTATTATTCATTCATTTTGCCAACGCTGCTATGTTGGGGATAAATTGATTCACAAAGAAGGAAAAAAAAACAAAACAGTACAGAACAATTTTGTAAAACAGTTTCTAACTTACTGATGAGATTTTGAAGATGCTATGAAAATGAAATTAACACTTTGCATAACAACGACACATCACTACAGCACTAGTAGAACTAGGAACACAATTGTGTTATGTATATTAGGGTGGTCCACAAAATGAAGCATAATTACGCACAATTTTTTAATGTTACTGAATGTTGTTATTGGCATATAAAATCAATTAAAGGTAGTACATGACACATTTCTCTTGTTTCTGTAACATACCCTAATATAATTTAAGGAAATAATGGAGGTCCTCCTTAGGGACTTTTCTGGAACCAGGGATAGTAGAATGAAACTATAAATGGTACGATTTAATTTGTTTGTGTTTCGAACAAATTTAATACATTTCCAATATATTATATCGAAGAATTCTGAATTAACATCTCTATTAACTCCACTACAAATAACACCCTTACTCTCATCAGTAGTATCAACATCATTATCATCGGCAACAACAATAAAATCATCAACAACAAGATCATAACAGGAGAATGAGTTTTGATGTACAAAAGTTCATCGAGTGGATGGAGACAGGGAATGGGGAATGGAAGACGAAGAATAATGTCACTATTATGACACAAAGACTATTATTTTGTTGTGCTGCCACTAAACAGATGTTATGAAAAATTAACATACACATCCTTTTTGGTACAAGTTTGTTGGTGTGGGAGTACCTAAATTTCACCACACCAACACACATCCATACTTCGGGGACATCGACACAAACTCACAAATTATTCTGATATAGATCTCTGGCTGGTTTGGAATGAAGAAAACAAAGCACAGACACTTGGTGTCTAAGGATGTGTATAAATGTTATGATACTACAAATACACACACACATTCAGGATAATTTTGTTAAATAAGAAGCACACCTCATACACATGCTCGCATACAACACCCGCGCTCATATGAACAAGCCACATGTGTGCTGTCAGAGCTTTATTTTTTCGGTGTTTCTGTGTTCGCTGGAATGTTTCAAACCCTTAAGGATAATTTATTAACTGTTAGTGGGTTAGAATTGTGAGAAAATGTATTTAACATGCAAAAATTTAACACAGAAAAAGTTAATAAACACATACTCGAAAACGAAAAATATGTACAAAGTTATGTATGCATGTGAGTGTGTGTATGTGTATTCATACATATGTGTCTTAACGAAAATTCGTGTACATCCCTTTTGGCGAGAGTGAAATTGTGTGTGCCACATATGTATGCATGGAAAATATTCTATTTGTAGGGGTATTGCCTTTAACGCCAAACTCAATTAATGGTTCTTGAAAATTAGGCCAACACCCGCCAAATTACAGTGCATTTGGTTCATACCCAAAGACATAATTTATTATTTCAGATATTAGGTGATGATAACACAATGCCATATATAACAACTCTTGTTGACCTTTGAGTATTAATAAAATTAAGGAGATGAAATAATATTTAATGACGTATTTGTTATTCAATTAATAATACATTTGGACATAAAATATTACCTAACACAATTTTCGAAGAAATTTCAATTTGCAGAAAAAGGCGATTGAGAGCTAAACGAGATTTGATAACCGTTTTTAAGTATTAACATTTTTGTATTTACACTATGCCACAAAATTGTGCTCATGGTCGGGGGGTGGACAATTTGTTATTGATTGTTATTATCCAGTAAACTATCAAACAGATATTTATTTCACGTTGAATAATCCAGTAAAAAATCGGTTAATTAAATAACTGAAAATGAGATGCATATCTGTCTTCCCCCGAATAAATTTTATTAATGCGTTTAGCATAAGGAAATATTAGGTTGGAGAAAAAGAAATCCATTATTTTTTCGGCGGATGGCTGTACTGATAGATTTCTCGTAATGTATCGAACGAACAAACAAACAAAACAATCGATGAAATTATAACATCGCACAGGAGCTAAACATCGACCATAACTGATTTAAGCCATTTGAGGGGAAGCCCCCAATTCTCGGGGTCAAAAATTTTTTTGATTTAATTCGAATCTACACTAATTCAAGAAGGTCCATACAAAATTTCAAGTGAAAATCTCAAGAACTCTTGAATATATATCCGATTTATTGTGTCAGCATCAAGTGACGGCTGAAGGGCTTCTCAAACTTTAAACACGTTTTTCTCTTTTGCGAATGGCGGGCATGATAACTCAAAAACAAATAACCCAATCGATTCCAAATTTTTACACGTTTCTCTGTGAGTGCATAGCTATCGCATAAAGCCAATCGGTGAAGATCTTCCTTATTTTTTAACATGGTTTTTGGTAAAAAATTGGCGATTTTCCAAAAATATTTTTTCATTTTGTTAATTTTAGAGCGAAGTCAATAATGTACTCATTCTAACACCGTTGGAATTTTCGGATTCCATGTTATCATGCCCGCCATCAAAAATAAGGAAATTTCTTTAATTACAAAAACCAACAACAAAACAACAACAACATTTTTTTGCAAATTATTTTTCATCTCTTTTAAATCTTCAAATATATATGTGCAAAGTTAAAAACCTTAACAAGCATTGGTATTGATTTACCAGACCATTGAAAATCTTGAAAAAATAAAATCGAGAATGGGGGGTTCCCTTAAAAGAAAAAATAAGTAAATAAATAAATAAAATAAAACCAGTGAGCGGAGCAGTATAGTCGGACGGGGCCGACCATACGATACCCTATACAACTGCGATACCCACAGAACTCTATCTTTCTGCGGATTTTTATTCCGAGCCTGGCACCTATTTTCCGAATATTACCAATATTCAGTACAGCCCTTCTAATTACTTGTCCATATTCCCTTCATCGTAGGTTGTGTTGTGATGTTCAGCTTATAATTGTAGCCTATAGATCGAATCGAAAAGTAAAACACAAAGAAATAAATTTTCGGCCCACTTCATCCCAAAATTATTATCTGATCATCACCGAAAATTATAGGCGTTGTCCTTGACCATCACTAAAACCACATGGAACATTTCAAGGCGATCAGCGCTATATTACGCCCTCTAGTGTGGTAATGGGTTACTAAATAATATATGAATACGTAAGTGCCTCTCAATATTTAAGTGTAACTCCCACATCCGAAAACATACGAC